TCAACTGCACACCACTTGTGAGAGAGTCATGTGCGCTCTCCTTTTGAATAGACTCGTGGGAGACCTTTAGTCCCGGGTAAAAGACCTTTAGTCCCGGTTGAAGACACCAACCGGGACTAAAAGGTCACCCTTTAGTCCCGGTTGGTGTTACCAACCGGGACTAAAAGTTAGTGAACTTTTACTCCGGGTTGGTGACACCAACCGAGACTAAAGATGACTTTTAGTCCCAGTTGTTATTACGAACCGGGACTAAAAGTCCTTTAGTCCCGAACGCAAAAAATATCGAGACTAAAGACTAAAATCGAAGTGGGTGAAAGGTCTATTTTCTAGCAGTGATCACCACCATTGTCTTCTAATTGCATGATCATTATCACCAAAACCCACATTAGGGCTCTACCATTGCTTGAGAGAGCATTAAGGTTTAGCTCCGCTAGTGCTTGAGAGAACATTAAGGTTTTGAGTTTGAATCCTGAAAACATATATTTTATTTTTTCATCACTATCAGTTCGGGTTCGTGGCTAGAACTCACAGTGATATCATTGGATCATTATCGCGTCTCGAACCTATTGTGATAGCAAGCCCCATCATTGCAGATTGCCTTCTGCACAATCAAATTTTCAGGATTGATGCCGAGGTTAAACCCGACAGTAACGTATGAACCTGTACTAGTGATCCACAATTTAAGCCAACGTTTGCAATAAAATAACGATGTTCTGTTAAGTCTATATCAAATTTAAATACAACTTTGATAGATTTTTTCTCCTATATATTGCAAAACATGAAACCTTGATAGCTTTTTCTCTCCTATCGTAAAGCATGAAAATATTTGCTCATAATGTATTATAACTTTAATTTTCATACTGTTTATAAACCGGAACTGTTAAGTATCAAGCTTGGTGGCTTCCTTCAAAGAATGAAGACATAAAAATCAAGTCGGCAAATAATAATTAGTTGCTAATGTGTTAGGGATTGGTTTTTCGCTGATGATTATAACGAGAGACCTCATACAATTTCACGTATAGCTTAACACCGTTAGTCCATCAAACTAACGGAAGGGTCAAGAAACCAAAGGAAATTCGTCTTAGGGCCAAATAAGAAGTTCGAGAAAAAAGGGCCAAGAAACTAAGCAGCACTTGTTTTAGGGTCTCTACATTTATTTAGACCGGATTGAACAACAAATAGTTCATGATCTCAGTTTACGGTTTGATTAGTTGGACTATTGGTTGAACTAAATTCTATTTAGACAAATTCTGTTTCAGTTAGAACTCGAGAAAAAAGGACCAAGAAACTAAGCAGCACTTTTTTCAGGGTCTCTACATTTATTTAGACCAAACTGAACAACAAATAGTTCATGATCTCAGTTTATGGTTTGATTAGTTGGACTATTGGTTGAATTAAATTCTATTTAGACAAATTCTGTTTCTAGTTAGAACTACATAAAAAATGCGTAGTGACAACTCCTTATTCTTAGTTTTTTTTTGTATTATATAAAACAGATCAAGGGTTTAAAAGGCCCCTGATGTTGCCTTTACATTTATTGTCCTAGTATATACTAGTATATATAAAATAGTTTTGCTGCTAGACTGCTGCGGGTTGGTGTTATGGGCCACAGCCCATTTTCTGCAGATAAGTGAAGATCGATGGGTAGCGGCAAGGAAAATGGGCTCCAGCCCAAATGGAAACAGCATGCAGGCCGAAAGAAGTTTGCCGTAGGGGAGGAAAACCAACGTATTTTCCTTTTCTTTAAAAAAACAGAAACTTCATAAATCGATTTTCTACGCAACAGAAGAAAAGAAGCAGAGAACTCCCAAGCACACGGTAAACCAAAATGCAGCGGCATGAATACAACAAACAAACATATATCCAATATTTAATTTATATTTATTTTAGAAAATAATAACTTTTCCATGAACAAAAATTCCAAGCTATTTACTGATAGGCTGTCCAAAATTTTATTTGTTTTTCACATTCACATCTCAAAATTAAATATTTTAGGTTGTGACAATAAGTTAATGAAATCTATAGTACATACATATGAATATATGATACGCCTCGGATAGCATCTGCATGCAAGCCATCAGCCCCACTAATAATTAATAAACCTTGCTTTTGTCTGTAGATTCTAAAATCCACTTCAAAACATGAACTATTTATTTCAACTTTTGCCGTTTGATTGGAAGCCAAAAGCAAAAAAAGGTGAGAAACAGAGAGAAACTAATATACATAGAGAGAGCTGCTACTGGGCTGTGAATCGGGCCATGGTCCGGAGAGTGGCCTAGTCACAGTGCTGTTGGGGCAGAGCAGTGCTATCAAGCAACTACGATCCATTCCTCTGTTGCATGCTACTAGATGGTAGAGATCACGAGCTGGAGCTCCATTCCATGTCTACGCATCTCAGAAACGAAAGCAAGTGAGTTTCCTCAGCTCCCTGGTCACACTGTCCTACTTGCTCGTGCCAGCCATTGTTACCAAACGTTCCACATATTCCTCGCTTCCTTGATCGGCGTTCTAAGTTGAACGAACCTTTGTGTGTGCATCTCGATTCTTTACGCAAAGCCTAACTAAATGGTCTGATGCTTCTTCTGATAACCTTGCAGGCACAAAGTAAGCATATATTCAGATATCAGGGTGACCGGTTGACCACGCCAAAACCATGCATGTGATACTTCATCATATTTGCACTCGGTTAGTTGGTTAACTTCTAGCCCCTCCCAATCAGCTAGATATACCTGTCATCAGGTGGTTCTTTTTGGAGGATTCAAGCATTCTATGCATGGCCCATCATCATATGGCCCTTCAATAATTCTGTGGAAGGGCAACATTTCTCGTATTCCATTAGATACATACCCATGCTCCTATATGGCCTAGTAATTCTCAGAGAGATAACCTTTAGACGTGCTTATTTTTTATCTCAGTTATTTGTTTACTCCTAACACGATCTCATATAATATAAGTAGTTTTCTATCTCTTTATTCATTATCTAATTGTTATAGATTTTAACAATTACTTTTTATGCTTTTCCATCCATATTCATATTTTTTCTCTTCTTCGTTGCACCTCCGTGTGTATTTGACATGTTTTCAGTTGAAACCTTAGCTTGATCTATGTGTGCTTGACATGGAAACTGACAATGCTCATTCGCGCGCGCGCACACACACACACACACACACACACACACACACACACACACACACACACACACACACACATATATATATATATATATATATATATATATATATATATATATATATATATATATATATATATATATATCGCATCAGGGCACACGTCATGTGTGTTTATCTTGGTAAAAAGCGACAAATTTAAAAGCATATTTTAAAAACTAGAATATTTTTTAACAACTATGAATGTAGGTAATTGAGATGCATATTAAGGGGTTGTTTTATGCTATTTTTAATAATGATATAGGTGTGTAATTCATATGGAAACTTAGATGCATGGTAATTGCAGAGAATTTATCTAATTAAATCGTTGAGTAGTTTAGATGAAACTTTAGGGGTTCTCTAATGCTAATATTGGTTGATTAGTGTACTTAGAGTAATTTACAAAATACTAGATGTCTGTAGTTTAGATATAGATTTAGGGCGTTACTTACTATTTTAGTAATGATAGAGGTGACATAGATTTCTAGGGTCATTTTAGGTTGTTTTCATAACGGTAGGGTGGGTAATTTAGATTTATATTTAAGGATTTACTTTTGGTTGATTTTATATGGCAAGAATACGTTAGAGATTGTGGTAGTGTGCATATTGGACATCTTGACACTGTGCCAGTACTCGGCCACGGTAGGGGTGGCTAGAGGTCAAGCTCAGTGTAGTGGTGGCCAAGGATCAAGCCGAGTTAGGGGTGAGTGGGTGGCCAGGTCTTGGCCTAGGACTTCCTGCGTTACTGTGATTAACACAAGCCTTTCCACCGAGGCGGGCAGATTGCCCTCCTGGAAAAACTATTTTGAACCGCCTGGGATAAAATCTGTGTAGTAGTGAGTCAAGAAGATTTGGAGATTCGTGGCCTATTTGCTTTGTATTAGTCTCCTGTTTCTTATACTTTGTTGTTTTCTTGGATTTTATGAGATGAGAACTAGCAACGTTTTTTTCCTGGCAATCTGCATGTGCGAAACTTCCTCAATTCATAGATTTCACATGTTTGTTTTCAGCTTAGCTGCTGATGTTTTTACCGGGGACGGGGACCCCGCGGGGATAAAATCCCCGTGCGGGGACGGGGACGGGGAAGAAACTCACCCCGACGGTGTTCACAGGGACGGGGATGGTGGGATTTCTTCCCCGCGGGGATGGGGACGGGGCGTCAATGTGTGCCGCGCCATGAAAAATGCAGGAACTAGTCCATTTTGCTGTTCCGGTGCCGTATGCGGTCAGAAGAATCGTCGAGGTGTGTGCGCGATTCTTTGTTTCTTTTCACTGCCATATAGTAGAAATCACGTCTTAAAAATACCCTCTTAGTCTGTTGCCAGACTCCTTATTTGATTTTAAAATTACTGAAATATCTTGTATTTAAGGATGGAGAGAGTAATCAAAAGCTATAATTTGAAATGGAGAGAGACAGCACCAGATGATAATAGGTAGAAGTGAAAAAAAAACGTGCGTGGAGCCTTCCCGACAAAGGCATAACGATTGTTTGGGAAAGGTGGAAATGGAGGCAAAAGGTGTAATCTAATGGAAGCGGAGAGTTACGGTTTAGGTTCGATGTGAATGAAGGACAAGAAGAGTGAGTGTATGTAGAGTTACATATTTAGACATTTTTATTTGTGCATATATATATATATATATATTACACTATACTGTGCACGCTCTGTCACACGAATGCAAGTAACCAGACATTCTTTTGGCAACCTCGGTCTTTTCGACAATAGAAATATACTCCTAAACGGCTATATAAGAATCTAGTAATCATCTTTACAGGTTCAATCATCTAGCACTACTTGTAATCTTGTATCACCATTCACCAGTCGTCGTCTGTCCATGTCGTCGTGGGCGTTGGACGTGGACAAGAACAAGATGCCGCCCAACGACGAGGCCGCGGAGGCGTCGCGGTGGCAGCGCCACGCCATCTACCGCGTGCCGGCGTTCATCAAGGACCTGAACCCCAAGGCGTACCGGCCGCAGGTGGTGTCGCTGGGCCCCTTCCACCACGGCGACGCCGCGCTGCTGCCCATGGAGGCGCACAAGCGCCGGGCGCTGGCGCACCTGCTGCGGCGGTCCGGGCGGCCGCTGGAGGAGTTCACAGCTGCCATGCGGGGCGCGGCCGAGCAGCTGGAGAGCGCGTACCGGGATCTCGGCGCTGAGTGGCGCGGCGACAGGGAGCGGTTCCTGGACATGTTGATCGTCGACGGCTGCTTCCTGCTGGAGGCGATGAGGGTCGCCAAGGACGTCGGCGTCGGCGACGACGGCTATGCCACCAGTGACCCCGTCTTTAGCCGCCACGGGGTGCTCTACGTGATGCCCTTCATCCGGCGCGACATGCTCATGCTCGAGAACCAGCTGCCGCTGCTCGTCCTCGAGAGGCTCGTCGCCGTCATGACTGCACAACCGCCGGTAGTAGCAAATATGATCACTAGTAGATATAATTTTGTTTTCAATCTTGTTGTTGAGCTGTATTTTTACTAACCATGAATCATGAATTAGTAAAATAAATGCTTCAATTTGATATCCACGGATGCTGGATATGTATGCCACGCAGAGCCACCAGGAGATCAACAGGATGGTGCTGTGGTTTCTGTCCCCGTCGTCACCGGCCGTCGGCGTCGAGCTGGGGCTCCACCCACTCGCCGTCTACCGCGGGAGCCTGGTGCATGGGAGCTCCCGCCGGCCCGACTCGAGGGATTTACTGGACACCTACCAGGAAGAGACGATCATCCGGCCGGCGGTGGAGCTCCACGAGGCCGGGGTCCGGTTCAAGAGGAGCTGGACGAACAGCCTGCGCGACGTCCGGTTCCGGCGCGGCGTGCTGCGCGTGCCGGCGCTGTGCGTGGACGACTCCACCGAGTACGCGCTGCTGAACATGATGGCGTTCGAGAGGCTCCACGCCGGCGCCGGGAGCGACGTGGCGGCGTACGTGTTCTTCATGAGCAACGTCCTCGGCTCGGCCAGGGACGTGGCGCTGCTGCGCTCCGAGGGCGTCGTCCAGAACGCTGCCGCCGGCAGCGACAAGGCGGTGGCGCAGATGTTCGAGAGGATGTCCAAGGACGTGGTGTTCGATCCGGAGAGCGCCATCGACGCTGTGCACCGGCATGTGAACGCCTACTGCCGCCGCTGGAGGCCGTGGAGGATGTGGTGGCGCTGGCGCCAGGCTTAGCCGACGCTGGGATGAATGCTTGACGACTACCACATGGGCGATCCTCGCCGTTGTTCTCGTCATGCTCATGGTGCAGACCATCTACACCGCGCTGCAGTTCTACATGCTCCGACGACGTTAGCAGCGTCGCGCCATTGCTCCAAGCCTCCAATTAATTAATGGGAGATTATTCGCAGCTTTGAGTGGTTCTACCAATCTGTACATATTCGTTTGCAATAACAGAATTATAGTACCTCTCGGTGCTTTGTCTGCAATAGACGGAGTATACGCTGACCTTATTAAAACATGGAAACCAATGAAAGATGAATGGCCGCTCTCAGTGGTGAATCTATGATTTTAGCTTAGGTACGTCACTCAAAAATTTTCATATACAATTCGGTAAATTTATTTTAACAATTCAGTAATAATTATAAATTTTACAATATGATTCGATAAATTCAAGGATTAGATTTAGACCATCCACTAAATACAATATAAATAGTTCAAATATAGGCATAAAAGAGTATTAGAGACTTACAACGTTATTTTTCTCACTGGTTTATTCGACGCTTATGAAGGGACATGAATGTCTTGACTATATCATTTTCATCAACTTTTAAAAAAATATCTCGCTCAACAGAAAGTGACTAGACAATCATTCAAAAGGCTAAACAATAGTTTTCTACAAAAACCTTAAGAGCAAAGATTAAATTACCGTAAATATTGCAGACGAGATGTGCGAGAAATAGACGGCGATCCTCCAATTCAGAGCAGGGCGGAGGGCAGCAGCCGGCAGACACCAGGGGCCAGGGCGGCAGGGCGGCACCGACTCGACTCACCCGGTCAGGGCGTCAGGCGCAGGCGGTGTGTTCCTCCGTGGCTCCGTACTCAAATTAGGAAACTGAAACGTCGTGTACAGAGTCGGAGACTCAGAGCGCGCATACCGTATGGGTTCACTTGCCGAGTGGGCCACGTTACATGGGCCTCCCGTCATCAAGCGATGATGTCCAGGTATGCTTTTTCATTTTTCTTTTTTATAAATACAACGTATACACTATATTATATAGTATATATATACTACTTGCGGCCGGTTTTGCAACCGGCATACTCTATGGCTCCGCCACTGGTTGCTCTGTTTTTTTAGGTAGAACAACCATTCTGTTATCGGCAGCACTGCAGCCCGGACGGAACCCCCCCTGCCCCCCTGCGTTCGGACGCCCACGCCTTGCAGCGCCAAGACCAACGCTGCACAGACGCATTGCGCGGGCCCGCCCCACACCACTCCCCACGCTTCCGCGCTTCGCCTACCGCGCACGCATGCTACGCCGCCCCTCCATGCACGGCGCCCAGTGGCCAAGAATAAAGTAAGTGCTTCGGCGCAGTGGCTCACATTGCAACATGCACAGCACCGCCAATCTACTTTCGAAACATTCAGACGAAATGCTTGCAACATATGTAGGAAACAACTGAAACATTAGAAACATGCGTCTAAAACACTTACAAAAACACATGAAAAACACTTAAAAAACAATTGCAAACATACGCAACATCCAAATAAAACACTTGTAACATATGTGTGAAATATATGCAATATCCAGATAAATATATTTGCAACATACGTATGAAAAAACAGATGAAACATTGAGAACAGACACTTGCAACATACGTGTACAACCATTGCAATATGTGCAACATCCCGATCTACTTTTACAATATCCACATGAAACACTTCAAACATACCTACGAAACATCTGAAACACTTAAAACATGCGCTTGCAACATGGGGGAGGCCGAGGTCCGGCGATTCTAGCCGTCGACGTCGGAGCCGGCAGCGCACGAGCACCACCACCACCATCTCTAGGAGCACTGGGCTTGGTTCGGCCGGGTGGGAGCGAGCGGCGCGGGATGGGCAAACACGATGGGCGGGAGCCAGCGACGCGGGATGGGCGAGCGCGATGGGCTAGAGCGTGCGGCGCGGTAGCAGCGAGGTGGAGTGGGCGCGCGGCGTCCGAACATGAAGGCCGTGGTTAGAGAAGGCCGCCGCGTTGGGGAAGGCCAGCGGTGGGTGGGCAGCGCGGTGGATGCGTCCACGGCGGTCGCATGCGTGCGACACTGAGAAAAGAAAATGTCACTATGTTTGTTTTAAGAAACCGCATCGTACTGAAGGTGGAGCGGAGGGGGAATGAGCCGTCCGGACTGAACACGTCTGGAAAGGCGCCTATGTGCCTGCATTATCGTTATGTTATACGGAGTACGAAGGAAGTTGGTACTCCAAGAATAACAGGAATAGTTTTTTTTATACTTAACTTGGCACTAAGGCCTTTCATTGATCGACACATGCTCAGCAAATTCACGAGCACACAAACTGATTACAAATTCTGGGAGGCGATCTGGCCATACCTCGGACTGACCCGGGTCCCAACCCAAACCTCTCCTATCAATGTTATGAGCAACAAAGTTGCAAACTCTCGAAATATTACATATGGAGTCACAACTAAAACCATCAAGCAAACTATCCCGGAGATCTCTGAAAAGTCCTCCACCAACCGCCAGGTCCATAGATATAGATAGCGCTTCTTTCAGTTGGTTGCATAGCAGATTACGTAGCTCATTCACGTTTTTTTTTTGTTTTGTTTTGCGGGAAACATAGCTCACTCACGTAGGTCACTTGGGCTTAACCCATTCTGGGCCGTCCACATGGGTGCTGGGCTTCTTTGTCCTGATGCTACGGCGCGACCGATCTGCTGGTTCCATCACTTCCTATCCTCTTCAGTTCCGTCACTTTATATCTTGCTTGCCGCTTGTGCCATCGGGATCGGGGTTGCTGACAGCTTGACACATTCATAGCGCGGGCTGCTGTCTGCTTGATGATTCACTTGTCGTACGTCTTTTTCCAAAGGTTTCATTGTTACCTCGCCTCCTCACATTCTCTAACAACCACCACTTGTTGTACTTCTCAATATGTTTGACACTTTAAATTTTCATATCAAAGAATTATACGTGCACTAATGATTATATTATTAATATAGATATACCAATTATTTTCGTGAAAATATATACATCTCTACACCTAAAAAAACAATAAAGTAATCATCTACCTGGTGATACCAAAAACGTATATTATTCGATCACAAAGACTAAAAAAACTACACCAAATATGTATACTATCCGACCAAATACGTACACTATCCGGCCACCGTTCCTCCATACCACAAATCCAAAGTTGTATCAAATACGTAGATGGAGATTCAAAAAAAAAACGTAGATGGGAGTGGTGACAGCTCTATGTCTTCCTCGTCCAGCGGAAGTCATAGCAAGGTGGGTCTACTCAAGGCCCTCGTCCCTCCCTTCCTTGCGAATTTCCTTCTGCCTACACGTGAATTAATTAATTAATTGTATTTCAGTTAAGAGAGTAAGGAAGCTTTCAGAGATTTTTTATTGATCCAGTTTCAAGTACGTGCTTTTACTATCTGTTTTTAACCGACATAAAAAAGAGATGCATCATGTATTGCAAAATAAAAAACGAGGAAAAAAATCAGATGCGACGTGCGAGCTCTCAATCAGTTTTGTCTCAATCAAACTAATATTAGAGGAAAAATATTATTTACAGTAAGCTAGCAGGCCCACCACGCCGTCGCGCTATAACGCCATTCCACACAGGTGTAGAGGATGAGAGATCGAGGTCGTCATTGCCAAAGGACAACCTAGCGCCGCTCACGTCGAGAAACTTTTAGCTCACATGTGCCTGTGCTCTGCCGGAGGCCGAGCCGAGGAGGCGAGGTCGCCTCGCCGGGGCACCAGCCATTTGCGCCACGCCAGGGGCAAGGGCTGCTTTGCCACGGCCCACGTTGGGGTGTCCCTCCACGCCATGACAGGGGGTTGGGCCTCCGCGCCGCATCGGGAGCCGTAGCCTCCTCATTGCCACGTGGACGCTCGTTGCCGCAGAAGAGAGAGAGAGAGGAACACTACGCAGACGCGTCAAGCTGGGAGGTTCCACGCGCTGCCACTGCCGTGCGTTGCTGCTCTCTATAAATCATTTTTGTCGCAGTGGTTAGGGAGCATGCTGGGTGCACGTGCCATGTATTAGGTGGCTGCGGCAACTACAAGGACTACTCGACTGTTGGTGTTTGTCGTGATCAAATTTATCTTCGTTGGTGTGTATAAAAATTAGTGGTCTCGTGCAACGCACGGACATTCATCTAATATACCTAAAGTAACAACTCATATAAATTATATATCATGGTTATTAATATAACTTTATTAAATTTATTGGTATCATTAATATATGAGTCGTTAAGAAAAAAATTATGATTTATAAAACATGACATATATATTTCTCTCTCATACATGCATGCGTACATGATATGCATAAGGACACAACATGTATGGTTACATTAATAGAAGTGGATATCTACAAACATTAATACGGTTATGGTTATTTAAATATTTTTGTATCAGAAGATGAAGATAATTTAGATGTAGATTTCAATGTATATTTTAGTTTTTTAATAATTTCAGAAGTTGTAATTTATATGCAAATTTAAAGGGTTACCTAGATTACCTATAGTAATGGCATGTAGGTAACAATTAGATGCAAATTTAGGAGTTGTAATTATTTTTTGATGGCTGAGGTGGATAATTTAGATATATGTGTCACTCTATATTTTCTTTCATATTGTATATATGGGTAATTTTAATGCAAACATAGGTATTGTTTTATAATGATATATGTGGGTAGTCTATAAAAAAGTATTAATGTATTATTTTAAGTTATATTTCATAACGACTAAGGCGAGCGATTTGGATAGTTAAACAATTATTTGAATTATCTTTCACAATGGCAAGTTCGGTAATTTCTATACAAATTTAAGGGGTCTTTTGAATTATCTTTGATAATGATAGAGGTGGCTAATTTCTATACAAATTTAGGAGTTATTCTGAATTATCTTTCATAATGACAGAGATAGGTAAGTTAGATTAAAAGTTAGGGGATTACTTTATATATTTTCTACAATGGCAGA